ATTGTCCAAAACCAAGCACCGATGTCTGCGCCCATGGCAGTCAGCATGTCAGCGCGAGGCAGTCAGCAAAGTCACCCGTCTGGAACTCCTCGCATGCCGAGCGCCACTCCTCAGATGCCGCACGGCACTCCCATCAATCGGTCGGTACCCACTCCTCGCATGACCCAGGCCAGTCCACCCCCGGGCATGGTGACACACGGCTCGCCGATGGGGCAAAATATGCATATGGGTCATCAGAACATAGGCCAGCCCATGTCGCAACAGCAACTACTAGCGGCACAAATGGCAGCGCAGCAGCATCAACAACGACAGCGTATAGTTCAGCAACAGCAACAGCAACAGATTCAAGCCATGCAAAACAGCATGATGAACGGGCAAAATCCGCAGCTGCGGCAGCAACAGCAGCAACAGCAACAACAACAACAGCAGCAGCAGCAGCAACATATCTACCAACAACAGCATAATTTGATGCGCCAACAAATGTTGCAGCAGCAGCAGTTCGGAAATGTACAGAATCCAGCTATGTTGAATCCCGCACAACAAGCAGCTCTCCAGCAGCGTTATCAAGCGCAACTCCAACAACAGCAAGTCCAGATGCAGGGACAGATGCCTGGGCAGCACATGGGCAACCAGAATCTAGTAAATATGAACGGCATGAACCAAGCTCAATTAGCGATGATGCAGCAGCAGCTTCAGCAGCAGCAGCAGCGAGGCCAAGCTAGGGCACCGATGAACCCGCAACTGAATATGCAAATCCAGAATAGGTCAACGGCATTGTTCGCACAACTCGTCCCTAATCTCATCAACCAGTATGGTGGAGAGAATAATATTCCACCTGAAGTTCTGGAAAAACTCAGAACCCAATGCCTTCAGAGGGCACAGCAGGAAGTGATGATCAACTATCGACGGATACAGCAAATGCAGCAGCAGCAGCAGCAGCAGCAGCAACAACAACAACAACAACAGCATTAACTGCATTAACAGCTCCTGCAGCAGATAGAGCAGCAAAATGATATTGCTATCATGGGGATGACGCAACAAGGCATGAAGAAGAATGAATACCTACTCGCTCCAGTAGGTAGCACACAAGCTCGCCCGGATATATTGAATCCTGAAGAATAGTGTTGCCACGGTCTACATTCATCTAGGCATTCGGCATCATGTTGGGGCATAGGACTTTGATTGTATAAGTGTGGCTACGAGAGAGAAAAAGGAAAGCGGCGTTCCGGACAGCGAGGTTGTGGTTAGTGCAAAATACGGGAGGGTGGCGTTGAGTATTCTTATCATATTTCGGATGGCGTGAGGCTCCTTTCATATACCCATTTCACGGCAGTTCACGGTGCACGTTTTTCATTTCACATCCTCTCACCATTGTTGTAACCACGATATCATTCAGGAATGGGCACAAAGACTTTTTCCCTACTTCTCCACGGTCTATCACCATGGGACGAATGGTGTCATTAGAGAGGCACAGTCAAGTCGTGTAGTGTTTTCTGGATTATAGCGCGGATTATAACGTTCAAGGAGTTCGGTTGTTTGCCTGCTCTGTTTTTTGCATCCACAAGAATGGTTGGGTGGGCAACTCAGCGGAGGATTAACTGAGAGACATACCACGGATAGTAATCAAAGCGAACAAGATTCAAGGCTACACCCACCGTATAGCAAACAAATGCTCTTAATGATAAAGAATATGATTATCCTAATCCTTTTAGCTTGGAGTGCCCAGCTGAAGTACTTATTGCAATTTGATCTTACAGTACGCAACTAATAACCTCAGAAGATAACAGGCATCTCAGGTAGGTTGTCACGTGCCTCTGAGTTCAGTGCAACCTTTGGTCACAGTGTCAATCAGAGCACCAGGTGAAGGATAGATACTGTGGCAGATTACATAATCATATGATAGGCCCGCCGGCTGTTCATCCCCTGCACGCGATGACGATAAGCCACCATTCTGCAGTCTACCTAGTGACCAAGCTGTCATTACAAGCAGGGACTATCCAAAGTCACCCCAAGCTCAACAACCAGAGGCAACAGCTACACCTGCTTCTTGCCCAGCTGTAGCACATGAACATACCTACCTCCCTAATCATTCTCTTCCTCAGCCATATATTAATCCACCTGACTCCTTGCTGTTCTTCAACCTCCTTTTCGCTCTGTATTTTGCTCCCCCTTATTCCTCTAAAACTTAACACCAACCAGCTACATACAGGTACATATAGGTAGCACCCATCCCATCCGATTAAGTTCCTCTCGATCCCTCTCTTCCGGAATCATCACCAAACCTGAATATTAACCGATCCTTGATCTACCTGGGTTTCAATATATCCCGAATCCTTCTGCTCGCCAGCGCGTCTATCCTTCCAATGAAGTTCTCAACAATACCGAATGCGGATGCCGCGTTGCTCCTCTCCCTCCTCTTGGCGCCCCTGCCAGCTACCGCCATGCTTGACTGCAAACGCATCGTCGCGGACGACCAAAAGTTCGATCTCGGAAACCTGGGTGGGCCGCACTCTGTCGTCACATCTTGGGTGGATGGCGCCAGTATGCACAATACGACATACACTGTCGATATCTGTCGAGCCTTAAAAAAGAAGGGCGATGCCAAAAAGGGCGAGGAATGTCCGAACTATACTCGGGGTAAGTAGTTACAGTAGTAGCCCTATGCTAGAGGGGAAGTTAGCTAATCGGTCCGCCAACTAGTTTGTCGAATCAAACGTTTGATCAAACCTGGAGAGAAGGTCGATACGATCGACAGAGTGACCCCCCTCGCGGGTGAATTAGGTGATTATGGCGGCGGCCCTTTGGATAACGAAGAGTCACGAATCAGCAAGATCGACCCAGACTCGGGCAAGGAGGGGCTACGCGTCATTTTGAAAGGGGGCTTCAGAACAACCAAAGACGGTATCAAGCGAAAGCAGCAGGCAGTCATTGATTTCGTTTGTAATAAGGATCGCAACGGGACCGAAGGCGAGTACGACTCGGAGGATAAATACGATCCCGACGGCGCTCCCGAGGCTCGTGCTAGCCCACTACTTTACCGTTCCCTTGCTACTCGAGCCGACGATAATGATGAGGAAGACGACACACCGTCCAAGGAAGTGCAACTAGGCATCGAGAAAGATCCGAGTCTCGTTTTCGATCGCTATGGCGTCAGTGATAGTGATACGAACGTAGACGTGTTACATTTAACCTGGTCTTCCAAGTACGCCTGCGAAAGCAAGGTAGATGACGGCTCAGATGGGAAAAAGCCTAGCTCCCACTGGGGGGTTTTCACGTGGATTGTCATTCTGTAAGTCGACAACCGGAAATACTTTGCTGCTTTGTCCTGCAGTGTGCTGACATTGTTCCAAAGCGTTTTCCTCGGTACAGCAGCCTACCTAATATTCGGTTCCTGGCTTAACTACAATCGTTACGGTGCAAGAGGCTGGGATTTACTACCCCACGGCGATACTATTCGCGATATTCCGTACCTGATGAAAGAATGGGCGAGACGTGTGCTAAACACAGTCCAGGGCAGTGGAAGCCGTGGGGGCTACAGTGCTGTCTGAGGGCAGTTGCGGATAGGGCGTTCAATGGCCCCCATTGGAGGCTTGATTGGGTTGGCGTTTGTGTACGTGTTTGAAAGAGGTACCTAAGCAAGAGGCCACCTTCGGCTTCGGGCTTGAGTCACACATAGATGGGAAATTAAGAGGATGTAGACCAGGTTGATTCGTATATGACTTTATACTGCGGCGCATATTTCTTTTCCTTTGCCCATCATCAGATTGTGGCTGCTTGGTCTATACATTACTGTACATAATAATATCCCTCATTTGAATGAAGCATTTGTATCAGTTACTTTAACTAAATTTTATGGTATGAAGCGGTTAGGGTGATTCTTATTGACCAAAATATTATTCGTCACATTTGCCATACCTCGACCCCGAAAGCTAGCTACAGCACTTTTCGTGACGAGACAAACCATATCTGGATTCTCTCAACTCTAAAAGTGGTCTCGAGTACAACCTTAATAAAATCATTTACTTCATCTGACGCAAGGTCCTCAAACAACTCATCAGCCTCTGCACCCTGCTTTAGTCCGATATCGATCTTAGCGCAGAGCTTCTCCCATGCAAAGGTACCGAGGACGCTTCCCAGACACCCCATTGCGTAGTGAACATCACGCCGCCCTTGTATCCCGAGAGTATGCGCGCTTGCTGCAGGATTAGATATACTTCCTACACGCCGGACGCGATTACCCACGTCCGTCGGATGCTTTCGGCTAAGACACAGGACTTCCATAACAGTTCGGCAGGACTTATACCGGACGCGGGCGTCAGTCCGCATGTAGAGGTCCCGGCAGCGGACGTACCGATGGAACCCAAGTTTCTTGTTTGCTCAAGAGGAAATCAACACCCCACCCAGACAGGGCACTGGGCTCGCGTGCTCGACCATCTCGTCCATCCACCGGTGAAGCGACGGGATACTCGTCTCGGATACGTGGCGCAGCCGAATACCGCCATCGTAGAGCGCGATGAGTTGGTAAATGAGAAGTGCGTAGTAGCGGACTAGATGCTCGAGGGAGTCGAGGGGCCAAGATGGCTTCGTGTTGGGTATGCTATTACTTTAAAAAAAAAAATTTTCCCGCTACCGTCTTCGCTTCGATCCCTACCGCTTTCATTATAATTGCTACTACTATTATTATTAACATAGCAACAACACGTAAGCCGGCACACCGGGTCCCGCTTTCGCATAGACCGCCGGCCGGCAGTGATATGGATTGTGCCACTGAGTGTTCGCGGGAAGCCGGGCTAGACGGACAGATCATGCGGCTTGTCAATTTCAAACCTTTCAGCCAACTAGGTTGTAACCCATATAGCCCAAAAGGCCTGTCGTTCATAATGCTGGGCCATAAGAGGAGCTTGCCAAGGACACCCCCTGTTGGATACCCCTCATCTCACAGTATCGCTTGCTGTTCTTAAGTAAAATTTGTCTCTCACGTCTCCAACAAGAAATCATCTGGTTTCGTGGCCCAATGGCAAGGCGTCTGACTACGACTACCACCGCAATCAGGAGATTCTGGGTTCGACCCCCAGCGAGATCACTAGATTCATTTTTTCCATCAGTTGTCAATTATATCCTTTTTAATCTCCAACGTGTACCCTGGCTTCGATTAAGATCATAATTATTACTTTACTCTATTCAATTTCTTTTCTCTATTTTCCCTATCTTTTTTATCCTTTAAACGCCTGCCGAGACCGGATATAGGGGCGTCATGACCAATGACCATATAGCCTCGAAAATAGGTCAACAGAACGAATTACATGGGAAGTAGGTTGATGAGGTTCGACTCGTAACTGATTGTCCTTCGGTTCGTTACGTATATCTGAAATAAAACCGCCGCATTGAGCGGTTTCTACGGCAAACAAAGACCGCCAACCTCCTCTTTGGGTTGAAGCGAAGTTGCGTAAGAATATTTATGGGACGATAGCTGCGAAAGCTCCTTCAAGTTTGAAAGGTTCAAGAATTAGCTTTGCTGTGATTGCTGTTCTGTTCACTCTGTACACTTGCCCCTAGAAGTCGGCCCACTAGTGGTAGATATACACTATAAAATCAACACAGAATTGCGTGATAAACTGCAAACTATTTCAAAGTCGCACAAAAAAGGGGCTGTCTCGCAAGTGGTACGTGTTAGTACCTATAGTGGTATCCCCAGGACGTGCTTATAACGTCAAAGTTGTAGTCTCCATAGCAGAAAATAAGACCCACGAGGATCTGTAGGATGTTGATAACTGCACAGGCGAGATACTAGGAGGCCTCGATGGGGATATTCATATAGGATAAGGTTATACTAGGTCAGCCCTCTTTCTTATGACCATATCTTATCTCAACCTCAGTGCTTGTAAAATATGATTGCCCAATATGTGAGCACATCGAGATGAATGGTTGTTGCATACCCCCTCAAATTGATGTTATTGGATGATGATTGATTGTGCAAAATGAATTCACAGTTAGTAAAGTTAATAAGGCTATCCAATTGCGATCTAGTTAGCAGGGTATCTATGTTTGACTTCGTCGTCGCCTGACCTGTGATTTCACACGAGATTTTCGAACTCGCAAATCGCTTGATAACGAAAAGGTCTAGGTCTAGCACAACGACGTATGAGTGGAATCGGCAAGCTCCTTCAACTCTGATTAACGTATAGCAAGCTCGTTATAGTTTGTGTTTGTGTTGAGATGAGCCATCATTGTGGTGCTTAATGCTTGCTGGTGAAATCTACGCCTCAGAAAATACAATTCAGAACTAGGTCTTAACTCTCATCAGTAGAATCTTATCATGTGTACTTTATGAATTTCTAATTCTGCCTCCTTTTCTTATACTATAGAGCGCATATTCCACCCGTTCGTCAAACCGGACCGTGATGTCTGTTGCTATCAGTTAATCTCTCAGCTGACGAAGATCAATATGCTGCTTTTAGTACCGGTTTCGTCTTGTTCAGCCAACCAGGAGTTAGGAATGATATCAATCAAGTTTTTAATGATGTTTCTAGTAGATAATAAACTAAGAGAGGCTGGGCTGATTTTAATATACAGTTACCTAAGTAGCAGCTGCTAGTCAATCATAGCTAAGATGGACTACAACTTTTTCTCGACGAGTAAACAAAAACTAAGATCAGCTATAATTAAATCTCAAAGTATCCTTCTATCCAATAATAAATTAGGGAATAAAGTGTCCATTTCTGAAATCAAGCAATCCCTTGACCAACCATAAACAAGATCACTCCTGACCACAATCACAACTGCTTCTTGACCAGCCAACCAGAAATCAAGATCAGCTTCCTCTGCCATAAAACAGATGCCTCAACGCCGCCCCAAAGCGGTAAAGGCTCTTTGTACAATCAGCCAGTTCGTTTATATAAGGAGTGCCTCCCTCCCTCCTCCTAGTCTACACCTTCTCCATCTTTCTCTCAACTCTTTGCTCTATGTTGCTCGCTTCCACATAGTTGCTAACTTTGGCAAACCCTTAACAACCCTTTGAGCTTAGTCACCGCATTAGAGCGATACTATTCAGTTACATTAGTGTGGCTGATCTCGCTTCTTCACTACTTCTACGTCGCCACGAGGAGACTCACACAACACACGCGTCGCACGCAACCCTTACCTATTGAACATCAGCCTTCGTAATGATGTTTTCCATTCTCATCGCTGTGGCTCTCTCTCTGTTTACCCTGGGTACGGCGTATCCTACCTTGAACCACGTGAACACTTTGATCGCAATCAACGTAGGTGCACCAGCTAGGGCTGTCACCAAGACCAACCCTACTCAACTAGATGAACTAGCTCCATTTAAGATTGTGAGCGGAGCAGGAAAAAATGCTACGAGTGATATTATCTTTGCTCAAGGAGCTACCACCACCACTGTACATACGGCGCCCGCCCCGAGACCAATAATTATTGTAGAGGGCCGACTTCTATCGAGCTACCCTATGTATAACACACTATTGCGGTGATTACTTCACACTAAAACGACATCATACCGGCACTTTCTATCACCTTACCTTTCGGTACTACTGAGTGAATTTATATATACCTAATACTCTTGTGCTACCTATCGCTGGACGTCTTCTCCAGTAAGTCATCCGAGCATATTTTCCTCGAGTCCGATACTGATCATTTAGGCCAGGAACTTCTGCTGTCAGTCTTCCAACAATATGGGTCATGAAACGACTGTCATCGTTTATGTTTGAGTGGGAAGGCGGGTTGGATCTAGAGCGTGGTATAATACCTAGACGCTGACGGATATGGAGGTAAGGGCTTTGAGACCAAGGGAGGGTTGTGTATTATGAAGAAGAACGGGTATAGGGGACCAGTAATACTTATAGGAATGATGATTTACTCTAAGGCAGAGCGATCAATAAATAATCATAATCCCATATCCAGCATATGCTGTTTATTTTCCTGTGAAGCCTACCCCACTACTCCCATTGAATGGCCCCAGGACCAGGGCCTTAGTTTTGGATTTTTGAATAACAGGATGTCCCCTACTCGTATTCGCTACTCAGACCTATAGTCTAAGTAGTCATCGAACAGCCCCTTGGTTTCTACTTCAGTGTGCCTAGATAAGCAGGTATGCACTGAAGTATCAAGATTGTATGACACATTGGTATCGATTACCGAAGCCACACCAGGTTCTCTCGGGTAGAAGACCACAATCAAATATAGTATATACAGAACCACCTCTCGAGTAGCATCACATGCTTGGGCTTAGACCGGCTGTGAGCAGAAGGATATTTGTTTAATCCGTGTTTGACTTTATCAAGTCCAATTACCTGGGCAACCCGTATCCTTCAATTACCTAGGTAACCCATAGCGCCAGCCCTCCCAGCCAGGTATATAAGGGACGTCTCCTCCCACCGATCCAATTCTTCTCTCCATCCTTCTCTCAACCTTTTTCTCGTCCTCAACTTCCGTCAAGTTGCGCGCCTATAGCAAACTGTTAACAATTTCTTGACCTCGGCACCTCCTCAAAGGATACCACGCGAACTAATCAGGGCGGTCAATATACTTCTTCGGAATTCTCGTCGCTGCTACACGTAGTTTCAAACACCACTCGCGATCCTTCACCCATACCCATCTCAAAAGCCAGTCTTCCATCATGCCGCTCTCTAGAACATCGAGAGGAGTGCGAGATCTCGAGCGGGCACAAGCCGCTGGTTATCCAGTCGTGTACGATAACGAGATCGTGGAAGGGCAGCATAGACCAACCGCTTGGGAAACAGCCACCGATATTCTCAAGTTGGCAGGCAGAATGTTCTGTTTCTTCGCATGTGACTATTGAGGCAGTTCTTACTTAGGGACTCCCTCGCAGCTCGCATCACGCGAACGGTAAGCATATCATCTACATTATAATATCGGCATTGTGGCTGACGGAGTAGAATCAGCTGGCTGCGTCCTTTGCGGTGCTGAGAGATGCTTCATTGTGCTTCCTATTCATGGCACACTGTCGTCAGATTACTTTACGCAGATACGACGAGATACTCTCAACCACATCACCTTCCCCTTATCTTCTGGTAAAATTGAGTCAATCGACTTCTACCGATACTCTTGTTTCTCTCCATCACGTTGCCTAACACCACTACGTGGCAAATAATCGGGCGCCATGCACGCAGCGGCGAAGCCCTGCGAAAAAGCTCTTAGTTGTGAAGTCCAGCATAAGCCTACAGGGTATATGGAACTCAGGATGATGGGTATGCCATCTTTCTCAGCGGCCAAGAAGCGTACTAACATGATTAGACATACCCACAGCAATACCTAGAGTCTTATTGTACACTTCGTCGAGTACTTGGGCGTGTCTCCCTTGCCGTGAGTCATACCAGCATGTGTTCCCTGAGTCTAGTACTGATTGATCTACCTAGAACACTTTCGATATCAGATATAATATATCCGACAACAAGTGTTCACGAAAGGGCTGCACGTGCTTTCAGGTATTTTAGGGGTACAGATAAGATAAAATGGGTGGGTGGGAAAGGGTCTGATGGAACAGTTTGGTGGAGGACCTTGTACTTAATCTTTGTACAAGACAATACGTACGCCCAATAGGCTTGTCCGCTACCTATATGCGATGCTAATAAATGGCACCGTCTGCTATACCTTAAAGTGTTTCTTGTCCCAAACATGGCCTAGGTTCTTGATCGCTCTTGTGACTCACCTTGTATTAATTATATCTAAGCGGTTGCTTCTGAGATTTCGTATTACTTCACATACGGAGCGAGCAACGTAGGAGCTTACGTGTACCGTCACAGGTTGAAAATGTAAGACCAAACCTTCGAATCCTAAGAAGCTCGTTGGGCCGGTTAGGGTAGGCAATCTTTGTCAGCTGCTTCTTGTATTAAACTCGCTCGTCGCGCCGTTAACAAGCGATGTTGAAGCCAACAAACACCAAGAACTTTATCACTACCGTTATTAGAGAGCAATGGGATTCAAAGATCCCCCTGCGTTGGTAGCACACTGGAAGCCAAGGAGTTATCAGGGAGGGACAAGTGTAGTGAAAATGATATGTAGTCGCTAAATAACAGGAGATCTATGCTATCAACCCTTAACCCA